CTGCCGTTCACTCTATAATTTCTACCTGTACTTGACCTTCCAAAACGCATCACTTTGCAATTATCCAGATTAATCTCCATCTGCCATTTTCTGCCCATGCCTCCAACTGATCCACAAATCCACCAACCTTTGTATCATCTGCAAGCTTACTAATTAATTTCCTCCAAATCATTTATGTAGACCATGAACAGCAAAGGTCCCAGTCCTGATCCCTGTGGAACACCACTAGTCACAACTCTCCATTCTGAAAAGCATCCTTCCACAGCTACCCTCTGTCTCCTATGACTAAGCCAGATCTGTATCCATCTTGCCAGCTCACTCCTGATACCATGTGACTTCACCTTTTGTACCAGCCTGCCATGAGGGACCCTTCAAAGGCTTTACTGAAGTCCATGTAGACAACATCAACTGTTTTTCCCTCATCAATCATCTTCATCACCTCCTTAAAACACTAGACTGAGTTAGTGAGGCATGACCTCCCCCGCACAAAACCATGCTGTCTATCACTAATAAGTCCATTTATTTCTAAATGCATATAGATCTTGTCCTTGAGAATCTTTTCCAATAATTTCCCTACCACCGATGTGAGGCTCACAGGCCTGTAATTTCCTGAATTATCCCTGCTGCTTTTCTTAAACAATGGGATAACATTGGCTATTCTCCAGTCCTCTGGGATCTCACCTGTGGCCAAAGAAGATACAAAGATGTCTGTCATTGCTCCATCAATTTATTCTCTTGCCTCCCTCAATATTCTGGGATAGATCCCATCAGGACCAGGGATTTATCTACCTTAATATGTTTTAAGAGGCACAATGTCTGTTCCTTTTTAATAGCAACTTGGCTTAGAAATTCAGCACTCCCTTCCCTGAGATCATCCTTCACAGGGGGAATACCAACACAAATTATTTGTTTATGACCTCACCTACTTCTTCCATGTCCACACATAGAATAGTTGGGCTGAATGGCCTGTTTCCATGTTGTCAATTTATGTAGCTTCTTGCGTAGTGTTCACATTCTCCAGTATCAGGAAATTGAAGAGTTAGTCTGCATCTCTCTCTCTCTTCATATCTTTGTTGCTTTCCCAGGTGTTATGTTCAGGGAAGGTTGATTAGGATGTTCTGAGGAAGGGTCACCAGAGCCGAAACTTTAACTCTGTTTTTTCCTTCACAGATGCTGCCAGACCTGCTGAGCTTTTCCAGCAACTTTGTTTTTGTTCACTAGGATGGTTAGGAGAAATTGTCTCATGAGCAAAGGCTAAACAGGCTGGGACTCTCTACACTGGAGTTTAGAAAAATGAGAGGTGATCACATTAAAACATATCGGATTCTTAAAGGGCTTAGCAGGGTAAATGCTGGGAGGATGTTTCTCCTCATGGGAGAGTCTAGGACCAGAGGACATAGTCTCAGAATAAAGGGGCACCAATTTAAGACTGAAATGAGGAGGCATTTATTGTCTCAGTGGGTTCTGAGTCTTTGGAACTCCTTGGCACAGAGAGCTGTGTGGACAGAGTCATTTTCTGATGAAGGGTCTAGGCCCGAAACATCAGCCTTCCTGCTCCTCTGATGCTGCTTGGCCTGCTGTGTTCATCCAGCTCTACACCTTGTTATCTCAGATTTTCCAGCATCTGCAGTTCCTACTATCTCTGGACAGAGTCCTTGTATATATTTAAGTCTGAGATAGATTGTTGATCAGTCGGGGAGTCAAGGGTTATGGGAAAAAAGCAGGAAAGTGGATGCGAGGATTGTCGGATCAGCCATGATCCTATTGAATAGCGGAACAGACTCGAGGGGCTGAATGGCCTACTTCTGTATCTATTTCTTATGGTCTCACAATGGGGCATTGCAGTCAGACAAGTAACAAACTGCAAACTCCTCAGTGAGCCAGGCAACTCCAACTGGGGATTGGAATTCCACTCTCTGAAGCAAATGGATTGCAGTCAGCCCTCGTCCATTCATCACCTCCCGAAAGGAAACCTCCAGCACAGAAACACTGTTGAGCATCGGTTTGAAGTCAGGCTGCAGTACAAGCAGTGATCCTGAGATCTAAACTGAAACGATGATCTTGATGAATTAACTTCTTTAAGGTCCAGCTGCGTCACTTCTACTTTTTTTTGGGTTCACCTCCTTGTGAACTTGCTTCGGACATTTTACTCCAAAATAAGTAGGAATACATAAAGAATGGAAAGTCTTTAGTTTCATACGTGCCACGTTGGAAATAGTGACTATGTATTGAGAGATTGTAATCTTGTAAAATTTCAATAGTCAGCTGCTCATTTTTCCTTTTGCAGCTTTCAAAATTTCTCTTTTTGAATTTAGTGGGCTAGAAATTCAACTCATTGTAACTCATTTGAAATTGCATGGCACACCCCATGCTCTGTCTTTACCAGGATAACACCAGATATAATACTGACTTTGATGGACTTCACTGCCATGGATGGCAACTGCCTGGCCCGGCCTGCACTCGTTAAGGACACACTGCAGAAGAAAGAAGCTTCCTGGTATAAGGAGGAGTGTCCTTACTTCTGGGCCCAGAGCCCTGGGTTCGGTTCCTGCCTCAGGAGGTGATGGAAGGTGTGTTAATGAAGGTGTTAGTGGAAAGTGTGTTAATGACTGATTAATGGGTTGATTATCACAGTATTGTTATGGAATGGAAGGAGGCCATTCGGCCTATCATGCCAGCTCTTCAAACGAGCATTGTTACCTCGTGCCAATCTCTTGCAATTTCCCCATATCCCTGCACACCATTTCTATCCAAATAACCATCCAGTACCCTCTTGAATGCCTGATTTGAACCTGCCTCCACCACATTTCCAGGCAGTGCATTCCAAATCCTAACTACTCACTGGGTCAGAAAGCTTTCTCTCACATCACCTTCAGTTTGTTTGCACATCACTTTAAACGTTTGCCCTCTGTTCTTGTTCCTGATTGTCAATCTTTAAATCCTTGAACTGCACCAGGAGCAGGCAGCAAGAGTGGGAGAGCTTGCAGCTCAGCCAGAACCATGGGGTAGCGACACCCACAGTCATCCTTGTTCTGAAGGACAACCACTCACGTTGCAGCAGTAAGTTATGTAAAATAGAGAGGCCAGAGAGAGACAGAGCTATTCAATTTCAACATTGCTACCCATGAATGTAGGAAAGATTAAAGTAGAGTAGAAAAGAACTGGGGTTCAACTTTGGTTTTGACTAAGTTGGATTATAGAATGATATGACACAGAATGATCATGTCCATGCTAGTTCTTTGAAAGGACTATCCAATTAGCCCTGCTGCCCTGGAAACTTCTCTCGGCTAAGTAGTTATCCAATACTCTTGCACTTAATTTTGAATCTTTTTCCATTGTGCTTTAAATTTTTACACAATGAGTTGTGATTTGGAATGCATTCCAACTTGTTGTGTAAAAGATTGTTTTCTCATATTGCTTCAGGTTCTTTTATCAATTACCTCCAATCTATACCCTCTTGTTACTAAACATTTTCTCTGTTGTCAATATTTACCCTAACTAAACCCACTGGGGTATTGATACTGATATTGCAATCGTAGGCGCCACTGACCCAGGTTCTGCCACCCTTATTTCTTGCCATTTCTACACAATATTGAACCTTACACTGATTGGTTGAATTAAAATGCTTGATGATAACACTTCATATTTTGTGAATCGTTCTTCTGTAACATCTCCTTGTCATAATTTGTTGCTTCATTGATTGTAATTTGTAAACTTGCAGATATTGCTGCTTGTTGTCAGTTTTATGACACAAACTTCATGTATTTCATTATTTTTTCCCTTCAAAGTTCACAACAAGCTTACCAACTACTTAAGAAAACTACCCAGCTGAAAACATGACTTAATGAAGTTACAGTGCAGATGTGATTTCTGTACTGAATTTATAAAGTCTGATGTCTTTATTTTAAAATTAATTTTAATTGACAGAATCCATTAGAGATTGCACCAAACTGACACTGATTTACTTCTTAGCTGGGATTACAAATTAATTAACATTATAATTAAGAAAAAAATGTGTCATGTGGAATCTTGAATTTTAATTATCAGTTTACACATCAATAAGAAATGACATTGTAACTCAAACATATTATTATGAGGATTGCAGGATTCTGAAACAAGGCCTAAGAGTATTTTTAATGCCATGAAATGACTAGGAATATTTTGGAGTAAAG